CAGGTTGCTAGGGTAACGTTGGCAGGAAAGGAAGCCAACAGGAAACCAGCAGGAAGGAGCAAGTCCCGCCCCTCTCCGCCCAGCCGCAGGTTCTCTGCGGCCGGCCTCGCGGGGAGTCTAGTCGATCAGCCGCCGGAAGGGTCGCGGTAGAGGGAGTCTCGCCCGCAGACTAGGAGGGTGGGTTTGGAACCAAGAGGCGGCAGCTTGAGAGCTGGCACGGAAGGCATATATTAACGTTCAAAAGCAAACAAAATGGATACGTGGTGTTAATATTGGGACAGTGGTTACCTCGTGGAGGGGGGAGCAGTGGGGCACACGGGGAGCTTTCGAGGTGCTAGGGATATCTTATGCGTTCACCTGGGCGACGGGAATATCGAAGTGTGGGTAGAGCCTTCCGTTAACACCCCGCCTTCCGGTTATAAAAGGCAACAAAGATTCTAGGAGGTTTAATTCAGTGTAACCCAATGAGTGCGTACTGAAATCTCATCTAAACTCGAAGAGAGGCCCCTTCTCGGAATGTTTACCTGATTCCTTTTTTTCTCATTGATCTCTTCTCCGAAGTCTTAGAAAAATCGTCGTCTGATTTCACAATTGAACGCAAACTGCATAAGCTTATCGTGTCATGTATTACATCCAAGGTGCTGGTTTTGGCTTCCCAGCGAGATGATAAACCTGAGGACCAGAAACCCAATATTACTCCTTCATACCCCCGAAATGGCATAGCTCGGGACTGAACTCAGGTGTCCATAGATACCTGTTATCTAATTAATAACTAGCTTCAAACTTAACTGAAGTGCTAATGAGTTAAACTAGCTCCTCATTTGGCACCAGGTAAAGATGAATACGTGAAGGAGATTGTTGTTTACAGTTTATTCAGAAAGGGAAGGCCAAAAAAAAAAAAGAGAGAGAGAGAGAAGAAAGGGAAGACCAAAAGGTGACCTAGGTAAACGTGTACCCTCCTCAAGGGGAAAAAAAAAATCCTTTTATGAAAAATTCTGTTTTCTCTATTATCTTGAAAATGCAAATGCCTTGGCCGAGCTTCGGGCACAAGCACCAGCGCATCTGGGCCGCCGCAGGCGCTGGGTCCCACGCGCGACCTTTGCCCCACTTCGGGCGGCCGCCTGGACGCTTATCCCGGCGGGCGGCCACGGTCCCTGTTTGTCCTCTTCACTCAGTCCTCAGGCTTGCACTTGAACAGGCACTCATCACTTGCCATAGAAAGTCGCTCTTCACACGTCAGCCAGGCTATTTTTAAAATCCCTCCCCGAGCTCCGCAAACTAAAAGTACCGCGGGGCCGCGCCACCGCAGCCGGGTCCTGCCAGCCTCCGCGCGGCAGCCTGGCCAGCGAGGGGGCGGTCCCCGGACACCCCGGGACAGAACCGCCCCCAAACCCCGGAGGGAGGACAGTTCTCGGGACCCCGGGGGGGCGGGGGGAGGACGGCCTCCAGACCCCAGGGATCCGCCCCCCACCGAAATCCCCGGAGCGGCGGTCTCCCCTCCCCCACCTTCCTTCTTGGCCTGGCGGGCCCTGCCTTCCACTCTCTCAGGGAAAGGCCGTCCTCTCGGCCTCCCTGCAGTCCCCTTTCCCAGGACTGACGATGGCCCTCTGCTCACCGTTGTGGCGGATCCGCCCGGAGCCTTCCTCGTTGGTGGCCAAGGGCCCGTAAGACTTGAGTCTCAGATTCCCACCCCACCCTCCGGCCTCTGTGCCCCCCACTTCCTCCGATCTGTCACACACGGGGGGAGGGGCCCGGGACTAGGAGGGGGGCTCCTCGGACGGGCCTTGGGGTGGCCTCAGACTTGAACCTGGGGCCTGGACCCTTCTCCTTGGCTACTGTCCCTGGGCAGCCTGGGCCAGGCGGAGGCTGGGACACGTTCAGGGGCCTTATTTGGCTCACATAAAGAACCTTCCAGGACTTCACCGTCCCTCCCCCCACCCAGCCATCATACAGATGTCAGAAAGTCTGATTTAAAACTCATTGGTGGGGCGCCTGGGTGGCTCAGTTGGTTAAGTAACTGCCTTCGGCTCAGGTCATGATCCCGGGATCCTGGGATTGAGCCCAGCATCGAGCTCCCTGCTCAGCCGGGAGCCTGCTTCTCCCTCTGCCTCTGCCTGCCACTCCCCCTGCTTGTGCTCTCTCTCTGTCAAATAAACAAATAAAATCTTAAAAAAACAAACAAACAAAAACCTCACTGGTTAGGGGGCCTGGGTGGCTCAGTCCGTTAAGCATCCGCCTTGAGCTCAGGTAATGATCTCAGGGTCCTGGCAGGTGGGGTTCCCTGCTCAGTGGGGAGTCTGCTTCTCCCTCTCCCTATGCCTTTCCTCCCCACTCATGCTCACTCTCTCTCTTTCTCAAATAAATAAATAAAATCTTTTAAAAAAGAAATTCATTAGTTAAAAAAACAGACTCTTAACAGTAGAGGACAAACTGACGGTTACCAGAGGGGAGGTGGGGGGGTGGCGATGGGTGAAATCGGTGAAGGGGATTAAGGGAGTACACTTAGGAAGAGCACTGAGGACTGTATAGAATCGAAGCATCACTATATTGTACACCAGCAACTAATATAATACTGTATGTTAACTATACTGGAATCAAAATGTTTTAAAGATAAATGGAGCCCATTTGCTAAGAAACTACTAACAATGTTTTTTCTCTAGGACGGAGAACTGGGTGACTGAAAAATGGGGTAGGAGAGAGACTCATTTCATACATACCCTTTTGACCTTTTGGATTTCACTCATATGCAAAATTGTTCATATTATTAAAATAAAACCTTGCATTTTAATTGCAGCTATTGCATAGTATGTTCAGTTGGTGAAAATTCAGTTGAGTTCTAGGTTTAAGAACAAGAAAAACTTTTTAAGAAAAAATTCAGTTAAGTTCTATGCACTTTTCTGAATATATATGTACCTCAATAAGAAGTTTTAAAAAATTAAATAAAATCTGTAGGCAAAGAGCAGAGCGCAGGCCACCATTGTCCTGCAGGCCTCTGTGCTCTTGGGAAGCCATCTAGATAGGCTTGGACACAGACCAGCTCCAGGCATCTTCAGCCCCTCCTCTCTGCTGCCTTCCTTCTCTCAATCTTGGAGTCCTCCTGGGTGCACATTCTCAGTACATTCCTACTTTCTAATCTCTCTAAGAAGCCAGCAAAGGCGGAATGTTAACATTTATATTTCAATGGAAAATCATTCATAGCAATTCAGTGACTCAAAATGTAACTGTGTCCCAGATTCCTGCCTTTTAGTTGGAAGGCATTGTTCTCTGTTAAAAGCGTTCCAGGCTATAGCACTTCAGTTAGCGAGATTATATGTCGGGAGTAAGGGGGCCTTTTTCTGCTCCTCCAGTCTCCTCGGGAATTACAGCATGCTTCAATCAAGTTTTGAAAGCAAACATGCTTTACTCAGTAGAGAGTATTTGCTGGCACTAGAATGTAATCCCCACAACGGCAGGGATCCTGGGGCCTGGAACAGGGCATGGCACATAGTAGGAACTCACATGCTTGTAGAATTAATATTTGTAAGTGAACTGAGCCAACCAAAAGTGACTGAAAGGGCCTGTCTCCTCTCTTTTCTCTGTTTCTGCCACCCCCAGGCACAGACACTAAGGTAACAAAAATGCAGTAAAAAATCGAAGTGTATAAAAAAAGAAAAAAAAATCGAAGTGTGGTTTGGTATGTAAATATTAGTAGTTCATTTGTAAAGAGTTTAACATTAATGCCTGATAGTCACAAAGCATCTTATTGATTTTGAAGTTATGAGAGATATGAAAACATATTTACATTTCAGTCTTCTATCTCTAACCCCCTAGGCTCTGGCTCCTAATAGAGTATGGTAGTTGTCAAACAAATCCAGAACAACGGCCAATGAGATACATAAGGATTTTAAAAGAGCAGGCAGTCTTCTGGGGCGCCTGGGTGGCTCAGTTGTTGAGCGTCTGCCTTCGGCTCTTGGGTCATGGTCCCAGGGTCCTGGGATGGGCCCCGCATCAGGCTCCCTGCTCGGTGGGAAGCCTGCTTCCCCCTCTCCCACTCGCCCTGCTTGTGTTCCCTCTCTCACTGTGTCTCTCTCTGTCAAATAAATAAATAAAATCTTTAAAAAAATAAAAGAGCAGGCACTCCAAGCGAGGGTTTCAAGATCTAAATAGGTACACACTTGTGTAACAGAAAGATTAAATGGTGTGATTTAATCAAATGGTTGGGGAAAATAGCGTATAGTATGATGCATTAAAGTTGGCAAGAGGAGGGGTGCCTGGGTGGCTCAGTTGGTTAAGTATCAGACTTTTGATCTTGGTGGTGAATTCAAGCCCTGTTTTGGGCTCCACACTCAGCATGGATCCTACTTAAAAAAAAAAGTTGGCGAGAGGATATGGATATGTCAGATGCGAGAAGTGGGTGGCTCAGGGAAGGAAACACTGAAAATCTTATTTTACATCAGATTGCTTTAAATAAAAAGAGAACTCAGTAAAGATGGAGGTAAAATTAGATACAAAATGTGAACTCATGACATTCACTAAAGTGGCTTAAATCAGTGTCATTTCCCCAGGGTCTCTCAGCTGCTTGCACTCAGAGCAGCTGATTCTGTGCTGTAAGAGAGGGAAAATAAAACCCAGCCTGACACAGCTTGCTTGCTGTCAAAGATACAGGGTATTTCAAGACTACCAAGGAACCAGTTTAAATCAGAGGCTCCCATGGGCTACATTGTGACAATTGGAGCATTATAAAGAAAATAATAATTCTTTAGAAAGCCATGAGTCTAATTATTACCTCAAAAGAGGCAAACAGTATGAGGTATGCTTCAGGAAAGCTATACATAAATTTCTAATAACAGTTTCAAAAAACGGTATGTATTGATAACCCCTGATTATATACCAGGTTCGTATTTTGTTTGGCAACTAATGTCCGGCAGTGTGAATCAGGGCATGGAGAGTTGATCTGCAGGTGCAGGACTGACCCTGGGCTCCTCTGAGGGTTATAGGGGACCAGAGAGAAGGAGGTGGGGACCAGGCAGGGGGTAGCTATGATCAGGGGGAAAAAACATTCAGAGTAAAAAATCCATAAAGGCAAAGAAGTGAGTTACCAGGTGGCAAGGAGGTCCTTGGGAGTGAGGGTACCAGCCTGATCTGCTGGGCCTCTGCACCAGTCCTGAGATCCCATACCTGCTCTCTTGCCTGGGATGTGGGATCTGATGCCTTGGCTGATGAGTACATTTTTAACTCTGGGATGAAGAAGGAAATCAAGCCCATATTATATGGGACTTATTTAAGTTGTGTTTATATAGTTGTGGTAGTAAGTTTTAGAATCATTACACTATTTTATGTATGCTTTGACTGCTGTTAGGATGTTGGGGAACCTGATTTGTTGGGTTCTGATTATTAGATGGATAAGCACACTTAAGTGTGCAAGGCAATTTTGCCCCTGAGAATTACAAAAACTACAAGTTGAAGTACTTGAAAGAATTAGATATTATAGGGGCGCCTGGGTGGCTCAGTCGTTAAGCGTCTGCCTTCCGCTCAGGTCATCCTGGGCCCTGCTCGGTGGGAAACCCGCTTCTCCCTCTCCCACTCCCCCTGCTTGTGTTCCTTCTCTCCCTGTCAAATATATGAATAAAACCTTAAAAAAAAAGAACTAGATATTATATTCATAATTATAGCTTGAACTATCTAAGATAATTTAGTCAAGTTTGGAAATACTGTTGTTTAGGGGAATTTAATCTGTCAAATTTATGCACAAATTGAGCATTGATTAAAGAACGAGGAAAAGTTGTCTTTTGACTTTCTAACATTATTAGGTGGTTGAATAGCTGAGCAAGACTTATCAATAGAGGATAAAGGGTGAAGAACATTTGGTTTTTAATTTTATAATTTTAGTTCATTAAGTATTGATAAACAAACCACGATCTTTTCTTTTTGAGGAATAATGCTACCTCCCATCAAACAACTCAATTGACAGCTCTCTATCACGGGTTTAGAAAAGTAAAAGAGATGCAGTTGCCCATGCTACAGAAAAGGCCAAGGCTCTTTTCTCTAAAACCCACATGATTTTTTTTTCAGATTAATACCATTTTTGGAATACTTATATAGCAACTGTGTTTTCTAGTGGGCTTCTTCTTCTTCTTTTTTTTTTTTCCTCCTGGAAGGGCATTTTGCGAAAGATAGAGAAAGAAAGAGACAGGGAGGGGGGCGCCTGGGTGGCTCAGATGGTTGAGCGTCTGCCTTCAGCTCAGGTCATGATCCCAGGGTCATGGGATCGAGCCCCGCATTGGGCTCTCTGCTTGGCAGGGAGCCTGCTTCTCCCTCTTCCTCTACTGTTCCCCCTGTCTGTGCTCTCTTGTTCTCTCTGTCAAATAAATAAATAAAATCTTAAAAAAAAGAGAGAGAGAGAGAGAGAGGGAGGGAGGGAGGAAGGAAGGAGAGGTGGGGGAGAGAGAGAGAGTGAGGAGGAAGAGGGAGATCCCTGTTTAGTACTTCGAGAAGCTCATTGAGCCTGGGAAATTCTAGGGATTCTCACCAATGACTTGTTTTTCTGCTCTTTATTAGCAAGGATGAAGAGCCACTCTCTGTTGACACCCCTCCCCCCAATTCTTCCCCTCTTGGTTAAGGAAAGACTCATGGTGGGGGCTGGCGGGTGTGTCCCATGGGACATGCCTTCGATCATGGTTCCCAGACTTC